TATGTATTTAGGCATATTTGGTTGAATAATATGAACATATGTCTATTTTTGTTTTGATAGGCGTCTTAATGTTGATATTAAATTCATTAATGAAGTCACCGTAGTTTTTTTTTTTTTTTTCGTTGCTTTTATTTTCCCAAGTACTTTCAATCTTATCCGGAATCATCTTCACGGGTGAACTGGTTAGACAAAAAATTAATTTCATTAAATTTTGTCTTAGGAATTCACCCATTCACTCATTCATATTAACAACATTAGTTTAGGCTTTCAATTGCTACAAAACATTAACCTGTAAATTTGAGTCATGTTCTTAAATAACCTCATCAGATGGAGACTTTCAATATGGATGCCATGCCTGGTGCCAAACTCATTCAGAAATATCTAAACTATCTTCTGTATAAGACCACTTTTTTCAGATCACTAATCAAAAATGGTTTTGAATGATTGAAAACAACGGACCTTGGTGAAGGTCATCCTTCTTCGAAACTTGTGGACTGACACTACAGGATCACAAAGAAATATACCAGATAACAGAAAATACATCACTTGAGGAATTTCAATGGCAAAACATAAATGGATGCCGCATGGAACTCAAAAAGAAAATGACACAATCAACATGTTGATGTTCCAAGTTACTTTAAATAAAAGGTTAGAAAGTAAACCCCCATCAATAATGGAAAGAGCGATAACAGATACTTAACATAAGAAACATATTTTCCTGAAAAAATTTTTTAAGAGAAATACTTTATAAATTTCAACAAACATTAATACTGGCTGCTCGGCCAATGAATGCTAAATGTCTCTTTTTAAGGAAACCGCTAATATTAACCATAGTAATTACCGTGTAGTTTTCTCTATGAAAAGACTGTGTAGCACTCGTCATGTCATCATGTGTTAAGTATCTTGCCAAATACAATTTTGGCATTCCAAACTAGTTGAACATTGCCTGGAGCTAGTAGAAACCACCGCTGTAACTGTAGAAGCCAAACGGTCTCTGGGATTGTTTCCAAAATTGCAGATTCACGATGATTGGCACTCTCATATTCCTGGGTTTTTAAGACCAGGAAAATGTCTTTCATCAGTCGTCATTGGTGAAATAGGAGGATTTGAGAAGAAAAAAGATGGAGAGGGATATAGAAATGAAACGAAGAAAAAAAACGATAATACGAAGTATGATAAGAATAATTATAGGAGGAAAAACGTTAAAAGTGAGAAGAAGAAGAAGAAGAAGAAGAAGAAGAAGAAGAATCAGGAGGATAAGGGAGAGGAGAAAAAAGAGGATGATGAAGAAAAAGAGAAAGAAAGGGACTGAGAAGAAATAAAAGGAAATAAAACAGTTTCAAAAGTCAGATGGACGGACTAAGAGAAAGAACAAGAATAAAAATAAAAGCAGAAACAGGAAAAATAAGAGAAAAATCTGGGATAATATGAAAAAGAAGTATTAGAGAAAATAATGGTTCAATCGAAAATAAAAGAAAGAAATTGGTGTGATAGGAAAGTAGAAAAGACAGAAATGAACAAGAAGAGAGAAAAAATAAGACTAAAAAGAAGAGTAATAATAAGTGATATGATAATAGAAAAAGTATATTTGTAAAACTAATCGAAATGAGAAGAAAGAGGACAAAGTAAAACGATGTGAGAGGAGAGAAAACAAGAAGTGAGAGATTACGCAAGAGAAGGTGAGAACTTACCGATAAGCTTTTAAAAGAGATGGTAACGGAAGATAAAATATTGCAAAAGGAAAAGTGTTGACCACAAAGAGGAAAAATTGGAAAGGAGTACCAAGAGAAATAATGATTGCTTGATTTAATGTAATCGTGGAATGTGTTGTGGGGATTATGAGATTGAAGAAAGTCGAAATCAAGAAGCGACAATTGCTGTTATTAGTCAGATCGTATTGATCAAGGCTGGCTTTGATGTTTCGCTGCGTTGAACTATCCTTGTCAAAATACATGCCAAGTTTGTGCAAGAAAAAGTCGGACAACAGGCAGTCGGATGGACGGACTAAGAGAAAATACAAACAAGGGAGGTTAGAATTTTGGCATGAGAGTGGACAGGCCGACTGTCAGGCGAACATATAGACTGGTTGGTAGGCTTTGGCCAAGTTGAATATTCGTTTTGTAAATGTTATAAAAACAATAATAATGATTATTTTGAAAGGCGATTATGATGAGGATAATTTTCCTAACTCGCATATTTTGGAGAAATAATTTACCGTATTGTTTTCTTGTGTGCAGTTGCTAATTGACACTTGAAAGCGATAAGTATTAACCTTGACTTCAAGTGTATTCACAAATCTAACTCGAATACTGATCATTTTAAACGTATGGCTGAACGTAATCCTAATAATCTGTTTTAATGAAAATAAATGAAAATATCTTCAGCAGAGATTGACCAGGAAGATTTAGGTCCAAATATAAATGAACAACGTTAGTTTATTTACAAAATTAACGTCGAACCTGCTTTAGAAAAGTATTATGAGACTGGTGTCAACGATGCTAGAAAAATCAATCAGTCACTACAATAACGACTTATAGAAATCATGCAATAATTTTGATGACATAATGAGAATTGTTTGTCCAACCGCTCTTATACTAATTTACCTGTCTACTAGGAAGGATAGTTAATCCCTATTGCAATAGCTTGCTCATGCACAGCTGTAATTGTTCAACACCCAAAGAGCCAACCTGCAGTTTATAATGCAACTATGCAGAGCGGACCGCAATTACAGATACAGGGACAGAGCGGATAATCTACAGTGAGCAATTGTTTCAACACGGCCAGTACGCTAAAACCATTGATGGCTTCGGAATAGTTGCATCTACCCAGTTTCAATCATTATTCATGGATCTATCTGATTGTTTTCCCATAATAAAGTTTTGAATTTGGGTCTTCTAGTCGAAATGCTAATGTCCTAACCACTTGGTCAGTTGTACATTAATGAGATTAATATCAATATTATCTGAAGGGTATTAAAACAAAATGTATCAGTGCCAAAATAGACAAGGCATAATAAACTCGAAAAGGATGCCTGCGAGATGAAAAGCCCGAAAATGCAAATTATATAATATGAATGTAACAAATTAATACAAAAATAACAATGAGTCTTGATTGGATCTTTGTTAAAAATGGATTCAATCATTAGTAAATAATATAATCAAACATTAAAAATGATAATGGAGAACTACAAAAATCTTTGGAGCTTAAAAATTCACACGTATCGACATAAGCATTATGATTGTAAACAAAAAGAAAGAAGTCTATCAGATTGTGGAAATCGTCACTCTATCAGGCACCAAAGTGAAATGGAAAGAATATAAAAATAAATGAACATCAGGACATTGCTAAAGATATTATTTAAAATGAATAGACTATTTTTTCGGAAAACTAAACTTCATTCTGTTGCTGGTATTATGAACATAACGTTTAGGTCCATCCTTTCTCCAGCGCTTGTCAGGCCTATAATCCGCCCCTAAAAGAATATTATTTTATTTTACCAATTCACCCCAAGAAAGGCGATAATGTCACTAAGATGCAAGGATCTATTGTAATAAAATATAATGAGAGGACTTTAGAAGGAACCAAGTCCTAAACAGGAAACAAGGAATAAAGCTATACTCCTGTTCAAAAATCAGGGGAGGAGGGTGAACCGGGTGATAGACCAATTTATCTACTCTTATGGTTATTATTATTATTATTATAGACGCTACTTTACCAAGTGGATAATTTAATTTCTTAAATTCTTTCAGCGGAAGCTTCCAAATTCTCACTTTCCTTTACAGATTTCGAAAATGTTTATGTGACCATGTATTGAATGACTTATTTTTCACCCGACAGCCTCAATGTCATAAGATTATCTCTATTTCCATAGTAAATGTTTCAACGAGCTCCATTTTTTTTTACTGCCGCCAGCTCAAACTTTACAGCCAAAGCCCGCCATGTTATTTCCATGTATTCCTTTGGTAAGAAGGGATTTCCACACCGAAATCTCCTTCTCAAGTACCGCTACTTTGTAGAACAAAATGCCACATGGATGTTTCCCCGAAGGTTACAATCTTAACCAGTTCAGGTCTAGAATAAATCCTTATCTATCCTCCATATCCTCTTTAGTTTTACTTCTTAATTCCCTCTCTTACGTTTATATCACAGACCTCATGCAATAACCTTCTGCCTTTAGTGTCTCTTGAATCATGTGTCGAATGTACTTCAGTAAAAAAAACTTAATGAACTACAAATAAATAAATGTCGTAAAAATAATTCATATTATTATATTACCGTGAAGAAGTTAGTGTTTATGTGTGTTTCCAGCCATCACTGCCAAACGGAACGTTCTATGTTAGGGATCACCTTTTGTTGAACTGCTACTAATAAATATAGGTTGATATCTGAGATAGAGAAGCTTTGAAAAAATCAGTTCGATTTTTGGTGTCAGCGGAGGTAATCAGAGGAACAATTTTATCACTTTTATGATCTACATTGCCGCCATACATATATATTGTTGGTGAGAATTAGTTTTGTGAGGATAACAGAAAATGAAAAAAGGAATAAGTGTTCTAACTTTCAGAATCAGGGGAGATCACTCGAAGCTAAATTTGGATCAATATATTTTTTATTATCCCAACCAATGAATTGTAATGATTTTCCGAAATTTCAAAAATATTTTTAAACAATTTTTTAAAACATTCTGGAGTAAACTTCATGATTGAAAATGTTTTGAATGATGAAAATAAATAAGTTAGACCTCCCAAAACTACCGGTATCTTTGTTGTTGAGTTTGTTTAGAAGCATATAAATCTCTATGGGTTATTTAATGCTGAAATCTAAATATTTTATACGCAATTCTATTTTCCTTTGGAGATAATAATGGTTTTAATGATACAAGTCTTACTAATTAACACATAGCCGAGGAGTATAGATCGATTTATGCCTTTTCCCGAGTTAATTTGAACACGGTTCTCCGATTAAAAAAACGATCCATTATACCAGCCGCACATCCAAGTTTACAGCCCCTGGTATTCCCAAGCAGTCACCCATCTAAGTACTAGCCATGCTTGACATTGCTTGACTTCGATAATCGTACGGGAATCCGTGTTTGAACTTGATGCTGACGTAAGTCAGTAGCTTTGTTAAAAAGGTCTTGTTTACTCTTACGAAAATGAGGGAATCCAAGAATGTAACCTTAAACTATTGCAGCCGATTCCTAGAAATTCGATTCACTTGTACAGTTCAAAAGTTCCGTATACTTCGGAGACGCCTCAGAACCCAACTGAGTTCCTCAAATTTCTGACGGTGTATGATGTTCCTTCCTGAAAACTTCACATGCTCATCGTGCGTGTTAGAAATTTCGATCTTCCAAAGGTGCGCATGAACTCACTTTGCTGTCAAGTAACTTCTCCCACATTTCATCGGGTCAGCTATCCTAACTGAAGTATGTAAAGAATGAAGACGTTTTTATTACTGGGATACCGGTAATTCCAACAGACTTACCCTTTGAATGCAAACGATTTCAATTCCTCCACTTTTTCACGACCATCAACAAGGCAATTGGAAAATCTGTCAAGATCGTCGAGTACGAACTGACAGTTTTTTTTCTCATGTTCAGATCTATGTTGATTGTTGTAAGGTTGGATCCTGAAACAAGCTTTTTATCCTGGTATCCTTTGGGAGAAGCACTAATGTTGTGTAACCAGAAACACTGTCAATATAAGGGACTTCTTAATTTGTTTTGCTTTCAGTATCACTCATTGATAACAATTATTTTTCATATGTAAACAGTGCATTTTTTTTTTACTTCGCTATGTTTTGAAAGATAAAATGCAAAGGACTTTGTTTAGTTTTCCAAAGAAATTTTGTTAGGGATTCTCCTAATAATATTCAGAAATAGTTGCTAACCTTATTTTGCAAGTTACGTAAATCGTGAAATATGAAAGGATTGAATGTTCCCATAATCAATAAGGTAATGGAACGATTTCAAAAACATGTTGAATAATTAAATAGCATAAGAACTAAAAAGAGTCATACACTAGCTCTCTAAAATTCTTCACTTGATCGTCACTTTAACGCCTACTTTCAGACTGGGATCAAAGCCTTGTATCTGTTCTTTGGAGTAGCTTGGTCCCAAAGTTTCTAACCCTGCGGCATCACTACCCTCATTGCATTAAACAGAGAGGGTTGGTGAATACTTACACAATCGTGATGAGTGGCCATTTTTTTTTTATCTGGATTATAATCTACTAAGCTAAGCTTTGTTAGACATAAGACTATTAGATTGGAGCACCCAATAATGATCGAACAATAAGCAATAGTAATACTCTCCTCGACTCGCTCGTTAATCATTGTCTTCGTAAGCATTTTCAGCCACGATATACAATACATTATTTTAAAATTATATTCTAGACAAAAGACCAAAGATAAATGAGACAGTAATAACGTTCAAGCTGAAAATGGAGATCCCAGTAGAAGAGAAGTTAGCAATTCGAAAGTCCATTTTCATTTATACGAACTGCATTAGGTTAAGGAAAAAAACAAATTTATAAAGCACAGTGATAAAGTCAAATTAGTTATTTATGGCGTGTGAGACTATGCTTCAGTTATCGCAAGGCAAAATACATTAGAATATATTTAAAGAATAGGGCACATTAAATAACGTCAGAAAATTATTCACAAAATTAAATAATATTCATAAATATTATCATCATCAATCTGATTGTTATTAGCACTTGTTGAATTATTATTGATTTTATTAATATTATATTATTGTATAATTACATTTACACTGGATAGTCTTAATTCCATGACCGAATGTAATCGTAGGGTCACGGCGTAGCTGCGCACCTGACCAGTTCCTTCCACACATCGTTTGGAAAGTAGAGAGGTATTTATTTATGCTCTGTGCAAGCGGAGCCTATTCCTCTCAATGTTCTCCAACATGAAGACTCGCTTTGGTCATTGACACGTGGCTGGTTATCCCATTTGAGGAAGCCTAGGATCTAGGTTATCCCATTTGAGGAAGCCTAAGATCTATCCGTTGACTTCAGTCTAGGAAGCCCTCCGCGCAACAAAGCCGTATCATAACCACACTGGCTGCGCAGATAGTAATCTAGAGCGGAGTCTAAATCGTGCTAAATGGTTGTTCGGCCCTATTAGAAAATTAATCCGCCCTTTGACAGGTCTTGGTAATAATCCTGCCGGTTGTCTCGCCAGAAAAGCCTCGACGAACCAATCATTCGGCAGGTAGTAGTAGGTTATTGGGTACAAGTAGCGGTCGTTAGAGTAACCTGACATAATTATACGATGTCTGATCAAAAAGTATCATGACTTTTGCTATAAAAAGAAAACAACATATATCTAATTAATCTCCTTCGAAGTAGTCCTCGTTTGGGGACACTCACTTTACCCAGAGTCGTTTAAATTGTTGGAAGCTTTGTGGGGGATAGCGAGCAGCCGCCTCGTCGCATTCTCTTGGATTCCTCGACGTCTTGAAATCTTTTTTTTTCCTTTCTAGTAAGATTTCCTTTCAAGGGGCGAGATCTAGAGAATATGATCAGACGTGTGAAATGTTTTCTTGACCAAAATCTGTTTCACAAGCATTGGTCACTGATTGAGACTCTCCTTGTTGTGGTGATACGACCGCAGTCTACACTGTTTCCTTCTAAGAATTTCTATAAACAACGGAAGTGAACGAGAACTTAGTGTGCATGCACCACAGAGTTCAAAACCAATCTGTGCCAAGCAGCTTCAGCTCCGTGAGCATACCAACAGTCCCGATACTTTTTGAACAGACCTTTTATTATGTTGTCATTAGGAGTATCACTGAAGATAAAGTTTGAGAAACGCTCATGTCATCTAGAAAATGTTCTTTCTTGAACTTCCATTTCTTTCAGTCACCTATAACGCTCTTCATGTTCTCTAATAATTAGAAGAACAATTAGTATTTTCCATTTGTTTGTTCTTTAATTCTCCAACTACACCCAAGTATTTACCTTGATTTTAATTCCATTTTACTCTGTGGAACGGTGACTTAAGCTTGTCCTGTCATCCGAACCTGAAATATGTCGGCTATATCTCCTGAAGAGAAGTAAAACCCTTCCCCAAAAGAGTCAATTTTTGGGTGTTGCTTTCAGATTCAAGTATAAAGCCGGTCAATGCTTACCTATAGACAAGTAGAAAATCGACTGATTCTTACCTATGAACTCAAGTATAAAGTTAATCAATTCTTCCTTTATTGACTGAAGTATAAAAACACTTTCAATAGGAATTAACACAAGTTGAATTTAATAAACTTTGAATATGGTTGAAATCCATTCGTTTATAAAATTTCTTAGTGAATAGTGTTTCATTTCTAATCATATTTTATATTACATTCAATTATTATAATAAATACGTATTTTCTTTTATTTATCTATTAAATTTTGTTCATCTTGTCCTTGATGTTCGTTTGAAAACATTTGTTCCAAAATGCTATCCCTCGTTTCCTTGAAGGGTTTTGCAAACCATCTATATATCATTTAAGTTAATTTTCTTTTTTGCTTATATCTAGAATTCTAAATCGACCTTATTTTTTGACTTCTTCTTTAATGTCTTTTTCGATTCAGAATTTATGAATTTTTGTCATTTCTCTCTTTATCCTACAATGCGCGAGTAGCTGAGTCTTCAAAGTTTCCAATATTAATGAGCCCTGTTTCATTCCTTTATTATATACGCTATTAACTCTTCATAGCAATGGTGATAGATACAGCTTTATGCATACATATATAATGATGTCATCGTGCCGGTTATACGACACATTTACTCTCAACCAGTATATGTGAGCGTTTGTGTGTGTGTGTGTGTGTGTGTGTGTGTGTGTGTGTGTGTGTGTGTGTGGAGCTAGAACTCTTCATCAGAATGTGAGCCTTACATTATCGCCTGTGATGTCTGAGTGACTGCCCACACACCGCTGGAGTTGATATACATGTATCTATCTATATATGTGGCTCGTCCCCACGTTTGCAATGATTCTGCGCTCGGGGTCCTGGAAATTACCTCAAGTCAAGCCTGAACCTAGTTCCTTGATAAGTCAATGTGATACTGAATGCAAGGTCTATTCTTGCATAATCCAAGGTGAGACACACTCGAAACAGTCGTTGATTTTCTCTTTCATTTTTCCGTTTTTCTCTTGGAAATGTAATTGAATGATGATTCTAAACTGTAGTTCACAATCTTTCTATCAAGTTTGCCCATGTAAGTTGTTCGGTAAAATAATGTCCGATTATAGAATCAACGTTTATTCCTGAATTAATATATTTAACAGTGTATGAATCAATCAAAATGGAAACCTGAAGATCTATACATCTCTGCTATCGAGTTACAAGCTTATTTACATTTTTTATGGTAAAACTCTAACGGATTTGATGCCAAGAAATCTTTAAATACAGTATCTTTTGTGACGGAATGTCTTTTGTCTGAAAAACTTGTCAAGATGCTTTAATAAGTGGTAGTCAGTGGGCAAGAGATCAGATTAATATGGTGGATATGGCAAAGTCTCGTACATTGTGGCAAAGTCTCGTACATTCCAAGTCAGTTGGCTTCTGCAGTGTCATTCCTCCAGCATGTGCCAGCGCATTGTCATGAAGTATAACTGGACCTCGTCGATTAACCAATCTCGGTCACATTTTTACTAGGTGACGGTGAATTCCATCCGGTTACTAGCAGTAAACTTCAGAAATGAAGCTCTGATTAGTTCCAGGAAAAGTTTAATGGATAATGTCGATGACGGACCATCAGATAGACACCGTAATATTCTCTTGGTGCAATACTCGGAATTTTGGAAAGTTTTTGTGTCCTTTGTCCTGATCAAGCCATTGAGCCGATCGTTTACGATTGTCATTAAAGTTCCCTTTCTCATTAATAGTCACTATTTGATCAAGAAATGGAGCATTAAAATTCTGTAGATGAAGCATCAAACGCACTGAACGCTTTGACTCTCCTGCAGTTCATGTAGGGCACATTTATCGAGTTTCTTCACCATGACAATTTTCTTGTGATGGCTCGATATTGTTGAAATAGTGATATTTGTTATCTGAGACATTTCTTGGACACTTTGACGTGAGATTTG